CCTGGGGAATGAAAGTGGGAGAGCTGGCCCTGCTCCTTGCCAGCTGAAGCATTGGATGAGATAGCTGGGGAAGTGCTGGAGAGCTTGCCCTGCTAGTGTGAGTATAGGGAAGCTGACCACTTAGCTGCTACCCAGGCCCAGGTACAAAGCTTTGAGCTGGCCCACCCCAACATTTCCCTCATCTATGAACTGCTGAACACATGAAAGAGCCAGTCCTGCTGATCCACAGCCACAGGATCTCCATGACACAGGGTAACAACAAGTTATCCCGGAAGAGACCCGGTAAGGATCCAGTATTGATGATGGAGCAGAAGCCAGAGGCCTTGAACCAGACCAATGATGCATTGCAGAGAAATTTGCAAGGAAAGATGTATAGACAAAAGGGTATACTGTGTGACACACTGATACACTACAGCTTCCACAAGGAGATGAGTTTTCTATGCTTGGTTTGGTTTGGTTGGTTTTCTGTTTTCTTTTGAGGGGAGGTTGCAAGGGTGGAGTTTGGATACAAAGAGGCTGGAGATGAGTGGGGTTGGGGTGCATGCAGTGAAACCCACAAAGAATCAATAAAAAAGTTAAAAAGAAAGAAAGAAAATGCAATAAAGTAATGACTCTCATTGTAGATGCTGTTCCAGATGTGGTGTCCTTTCTTGAGCAGATTAACACATCTCCTGATACATAGTATGCAGCTTTTGATCTAGCAAATGCCTTTTCCTCAGCACCTGACCATAAGGACAACCAGAAACAGTTTGTTTTCAGCTGGTAAAGGCAGCGGTGAACCTTCACTGTTTTACCTCAAGGCTATATTAACTTTCCAGTCACGTGTCATAACTTTGTTCAAAGGGATCTTGATTGTCTCTTATACAAATTGTCACACTAGTCCATCACATTATGACAGGCTAATTAGACCAAGTCAACAGGAGGTAGTGGCCACTTTGGACTTGATGGTAAAATATACGTCCAAAATTCAAGGGCCTTCTACCTCAGTGAAATTCCTAGGAGTCCAGTGGCAGTGGGCATACAGAGATATTCCTTCTAAGGTGAAGAATAAGTATTGCACTTGGTCCCTCCCACCGCCAAGAAAGAAGCACAAGTTTAGTGGGCCTATTTGGACTCTGGAGACATCACATTCCTCACTTGAGTGTGTTGTCCAGCCCAAATACCACATGTCTCAGAAAGCTATTAGCTTTGAGTGGGCTTGGAACAGGGGAAGGCTTTTAAACAGGTCCAGGCTGCTGTGAAGACGGCTCTATGGACTCTATGACCCAGAAGACAGCGACAGATATGGATGCTGTTTGGAGCCTTTAGCATGCCCCTATAGATGAACCACAAAGGAGACCCTTGGAATTTTGGAGCAAGGGTGTCCCATCATCTGTAGAAATACATCTCATGGCCTGCTATTGGGTCTTAGTGGAAACCGAACAATTGAAAACTGAACCATACTACCTGAGCTGCCTACCATGGGCTAAGTGTTACCTGACTCACAAAGCTATGAAGTAGGATGTGCACAATACCAATTCGTTACCAAATGGAAGTGGCATATTTGTAATCAGGCCAAGCAGGTCCTAAAGGCACAAGCAACTTACATAAAAAAGTTATCCAAATGCTTACTCCTGTCAATGCCTTCTGCTCACAAATACGTGCCTATAGCCTCATGGGGTATGAGAAAACTAAGGCCTAGTTTTGATGGCTCTGCACATTGTGTAGGCACCAGCCAAAGTGAACAGCTGCAGTATTACAACCCCCTTCTTCTGGGACAACCATGAAAGACACCTGTGAAGGTAAATGTTCATAGTGGGCAGGACTTCAGGCAGTACACATGGCCACACATTTTGCTTGGAAGGAGAAATGGCCAGATGTGTGATTGTTTGCTGGCTCATGGGTTGTAGCCAATAGGCTGGTTGAGTGGTCAGGTATGTGGAAAGGGCATGATTGAATGAATGATAAGAAAGACATCAGGGGACAAAGTATTTGGATAGATCTCTCCAAATGGGAAAAGGATGTGAAGATACTTATGTCTCATATAAATGTTCACCAAAGGGTGACTTTAACAGTAACGAAGTAGATACCATGACATATTCTGTGGACAGTTAACCTCTTTATCCAGCCATCTTTGCCATTGCCCAGTGGGCCCATGGTGGCAGAAATAGAGGTTATACATGAGCTAAACAACATGAACTGCCACTCACCAAGGCTGAGTTCCAGGTCTGCCAATAGCAAAGACCAACACTGTGACCTCCATATGTTACCATTCCCCAGGTGACCAACCAGTGACCTGGTGGCAGATTACTGCATCAAATCACTTTCTTTGTAGGAAGGTCAACAGTTTGTCCTTCTTGGAAAGTAAATATGACATAAAAAGATGTGATGGTGTGTCAACTAGACTGTGGGTAGACTTGTGATGGCTAATTTTCATCATCAACTTGATTACATTTGAAATCAACTAAAACCCAAGTGGCTGGGCACCCCTGCAATGGATCTTTTGAAGTGAGAAGACACACCTTAAGTCCGGGCCACACCTACTGGTGGCAGTCCACAGAAGATGTGGCCAGGACACGGAAGAAGGGGGCTTTTGCTCTGTGGGTACTTGTTCTCACTCTCCCTGGCAAGTTTATCTGTCCTCCTACTGAGGCATTCCTTCACTGGTGTTAGAACCTACTTCTTCAAAATTTCAGTTTAGACTGAAGACCAGCAGAGACATCCAACCTTGTGGATGCTATCTGATTCTTAGTCTTTCCATCAAGAGTCATCTTTTGTTGTGCTAGCCATAAGCCTATAAGCCATTCTAATAACTCCCTCCTTGACACTGTCTGTCTGTTTGTCTGTCAGTGTACATGATGGATAAATGCATAAAAAATGTAATTGATTGTGAAAGTGTAAAACAATAAGCATAGCTCCATCACTTCAGAATGTCCATTATAACTATAGAAATTTCACTGATATGTATAGAGTTTGGTACTGGGAAAATACTAATTAAGTGGCTATCTTAAATGAGCTGTCTGATTTATTTTTACTTGTGAATTCATTAAAAGAAAATGATTTCATTTAAAAAAACTGTTTTTGAAAAGAAAACTTTTTATTGATTCTTTATGAATTCCACATCATGTACCCAGATCCCAGTCATCTTTCCATCCCTTCATATCTGCCCTCTACCCTTGCAACCTCACCCCCAAAAGAAAACAAAAAAATTAAAATAAATTAAATAAATTAAAAAATAAATACATAAATTAAAAATAATAGAACAAAAGAAAACAAAAACCCATCTCTCTATGGAAGCTGTGGTGTGTCATAGTGTGTCACACAGTAAACACTTTTGCCCAAACAACTTTTCTTGCAAATGTTCACGTTGCAATGAGTCATTCATCAGTCTGGTTCGAGGCCTCTGGTTTCTGCCTCACTATCAATATTTGATCCTCACTAGGACTCCTCTCAGCTATCCTATTGTTGTTCTGTGTCATCCGATCTGCAAGAGAGGCCCCTTCACAAGCTCCAGCAGTTTGTAGATGAAGTAGATGTTAGGATAGGTCAACTCAGAGCTCTGGATCTGGGCCTGGGTGGAAGTCAAGTTGCTCAGCTTGCCAGCTCTCCTGTGCCCACACCACCAAGGCTTAAATGGAGAGTGGCAGCAGGGAGGAAGGGCAGTCTTCAGAGCACTGCAGCCAGTGAGGGGAATGGCCAGCTCTCCTGCACTCTGGGCCAGCACACCCATCTACCACAGGTGGTGAGGAAATATCAGGAAGCCATCTCTCCTGCACCCATGCCACAGTGCACAACAGATGGTGGGTAGGGACAGCTCTCCTGTGCTCTCACCCTCAGGAGAGATGTCCATGTGCTGTCCATGCAAGCTGTAGGGCCCACTCTCCTGAGTACTGCTGCCAGTGAGGCTCAGGGCCAGCCCTCCCACTCTCATGCCCTTGAAAGCAGCTCACCTGCCTGCCACGGGTGGCAGTGGGTATGGGGTGTCTCTCCCACGCCCACACCACTGAATGGTAGACAAGGGGGCAGGGTCAGCTCTCCAGAATGCTGCTGCCAGTGAGTGGTATGGCCAGCTTTCCTTAGTGTGTTAGCCAATGAGGTGTGGAGCCAGCTGGACGTCCTGCCACAGGTGAGTGGGAGGGCAGGCTCAGCACAGTGCTTAGACATCAACATGACCTCAGGTGGCATCCCAGACTAGGAACATCTGCGTAGCCTTTGGTGGTAACATAGGCCTCAGAATTCAACAACGGACCACTGACCCGGACATTCCTCTCCAAACCCCCACCAGGCAGCACTATGGGCCTATATGTCACCATAGTGTCAGGGGCAGTGCAGGCCGCTCAGATCAGCATGTTGCCCCGTACACACACACACACACACACACACACACACACACACACACACACACTGCAGCAGCACAGCGCTCAGAAATCACACGGTCTCAGGTGGAAGCCCAGACCAGGGACATCCCATAGCATTTCATGGTAACTTGGGTCACAGGCCTTGACACCGACCCCAGCTGAAGTAGGACCATAGACTCAGATGTTGTCCTCAGTGGCAGCCTGGGCCAAAAAGCATCACCATGGCCTCCAGTGGTTTCTCAGGCTTCTCATATCAGCCTGTTCCTCAAAGACATTGAGTCGCCAGCTCCGCCTTGGTCCACAGCTTCATTTTCTCTCCAACTCTCCACCACATACTCTGTCTTTCCCATCTCTCCATCACATATTCGCTCATCATAGCGGCACCCACAGCCGCAGGGCTGGGGTGGGTGCTTGGGTGTCCTTCTTCTCAAAAAGAAACAATGTTAAAGAATTATTTGCTTTGAGTACTCTGTGAACTTCAGTATTCTGCCATGGTCAATCCCAGTGGAGAAAAAAATACAGGCACCATGGATCATTGGGGGAGAGTGCTGAAGACATGACCAGGCTAACAGGAAGTACTCAAGGACCTTCGCTGCAGCCGAGCACTCGTGAACATGAAGTGTTTGAAATAGTCACACAGTGTTTGATCTGCTGCCTTTCTAGCGTTTGCTGAAGTCGGTGGTTATGAGAGCTTCACAGAGAAGTACATGAACGCCATTCCCTCTGTGGTCGAGGGGGACAACCTGACCATCAGCTCCAAATGCTACACTCCTCAGCCGGACGCCTTCCACATCTTCCGGGATCCCATCACTGGCGAGATCCCATGGCCAGGACTGATATTCGGAGTGACCATTCTAGCTATATGGTACTGGTGTGCAGATCAGGTGAGCATGTACGTTTGCATGAGTGGCTTATTATTTATATTATTTGTATTTATTTTTTTCTTGACTCATAAAAAAGCATCTACTTCCTGTTTTGTACACGTGATAATATTTAAACTGTCAAACACTTTTATGTGTTTTGTAGAAAATAGATGTTTTGGTCCCTCCTCTCTGCACTATGTTAACACCATCAGAGGGAAATACATTCGGCTCTTTCACTAAAATGTTTCGGTATTCATTTCCATTCCCTAAATCACTGTATTTAGCATATTCTGTGACACAGTAGAGTTGTCATTTTTGAAGAAATAAGGACTCTCCCAGTGTACAGTGAAAGACTGAATCAGAATTTTACCATTAACATTCCCAGAAGTGGTTCAAATACTTATATCTCTCTTTTTAAGCTTTTTAGTTTTCAGATTTTTCTGTTAGTTGAGAATTCAACTTTTCTTTTTTTGTTTTTTTTTATTTTTTTTATATTAATTACAGTTTATGCACTTTGTATCCCAACTGTAGGCCCTTCTTTCATCCCCTCCCAAATACAACCTCCCTCCCTCTTTTCCACCCATGCCCCTCCCCCAGTCCACTGATGGGGGGGTCCTCTTCCCCTTCCATCTGACCCTATACTATCAGGTCTTATGAGGAGTGGTGCATTGTTTTCCTCTGTGGCCAGGTAAAGTTGCATCCCCCTCAGGGGGGAGGTGGTCAAAGAGCCAGCCACTGACTTCATGTCAGAGACTGTCCCTGTTCCCATTAGTAGGGAACCCACTTCGATACTAAGCTGCCATAGGCTACATCTGTGCAGGGGTTCTAAGTTATCTCATTCATGGTCCTTGGTTGGAGTATCAGTCTCAGAAAAGACTCCTGTGCCAAGATTTTTTGGTTCTGTTGCTCTCCTTGTGGAGTTCCTGTCCCCTCTAGGTCTTACTGTCTCCCCCTTCTTTTTTAAGATTCCCTGCACTCTGCCCAAAGTTTGGTTATGGGTCTCAGCATCTGCTTTGATATGCTGCTGGGTAGAGTCTTTCAGAGTCTCTCTGTGGTAGGCTCCTGTCCTATTTCCTGTTTTCTCCTTCTTCCAATGTCAATCTTGTTGGTCTTTCTGAGTAAGGATTGATCATCTTACCCAGGGTCTTCCTTCGTGATTAGCTTCTTTAGGTGTACAGGTTTTAGTATGTTTATCCTATATTGTATGTCTAATATCCACTTATAAGGGAGTATATACCATGTGTGTCTTTCTGCTTCTGGGATACCTCACTCAGGATGATCTTTTCTGGATCCCACCATTTGCCTGCAAATTTCATGATTTCTTTGTTTTTTTATTGCTGAGTAGTATTCCATTGTGTAAATGTACCACAATTTCTGTATCCGTTCATCAGTTGAGGGATATCTGTGTTGTTTCCAGATTCTGGCTATTACAAATAAACCTGCAACTAACATGGTTGAGTAAATATCCTTGTTGTGTACTTGAGCATATTTTGGATACATGCCTAGTAGTATAGCTGGATCTTGAGGAAGCGTTATTCCTAATTGTCTGAAAATGCCAGATTGATTTCCAAAGTGTTTGTACAAGTTTACATTCCCACCAGCAGTGGAGGAGAGTTCCCCTTTCTCCACATCCTCTCCAGCATGTATTGTCACATGAGTTTTTTATCTTAGCCATTCTGATGGATATAAGGTGAAATCTCAGGATTGCTTTGATTTGCATTTCCCTGATGACTAAGGATGTTGGGCATTTCTTTAAGTGTTTCTCTGCAATTCAGTATTTCTAAATTGAGAATTCTCTGTATAGCTCTGTACCCAATTTTTTAATTGTATTACTTGATTTTTTGCTTTTTAACTTCTTTAGTTCTTTATATATTCTGGATATTAGCCCTCTGTCAGATATATGGTTGGTGAAGATCCCTTCCCAGTGTGTAAGCTGTTGTTTTGGTCTGATAACAGTGTCATTTGCTTTACAGAAGCTTTTCAGTTTCATGAGGTCCCATTTATTGATTGTTGCTCTTAGAGCCTGTGCTATTGGTGTTCTGTTCAGGAAGTTGTGTCCTGTGCTAATGAGTTCTAGGCTCTTCCCACTTTTTCTTCTAACAGATTTAGTGTATCTGGTTTTATCTTAAGATCTTTGATACACTTGGACTTTAGTTTTGTGGAGGGCGGTAAACATGGATCTATTTGTATTTTTTCTACATGTAGACATCCAGCTAGACCAGCACCATTTGTTAAAGATGCTGTCTTTTTTTCTATTATATGGTTTTGGTTTCTTTGTCAAAAATCAAGTATCTGTAGGTGTGTGGCTTTATTTCTGGGTCTTCTATTTGATTCCATTGATCCACCACTCTGTTTCTATGCCAGTACCATGCAGTTTTTATTACTATTGCTCTGTAATACAGCTTGAGATCAGAGGTAGCGATACCTCCAGATGATCTGTTGTTGTACAGGATCATTTTGGCCATTCTGGGTTTTTTGTTTTTCCAAATTAAGCTGAGAAATTTCTTTTTAGGTCTATTAAAGAATTGTCTTGGTATTTTGATGGGCATTGCATTGAATCTGTAGATTGCTTTTGGCAGGATAGCCATTTTCACTATGTTAATCTTACCGTTCCATGAGCACAGGAGACCTTTCTCTGATATCTTCTTCAATTTCTTTCTTCAGGGACTGAAGTTTTTTTCAAATGGGTCTTTCGCTTGCTTGGATAGAGTCACACCAAGGTATTTTATGTTATTAGTGGCTATTGTGAAGGATATTGTTTCCCTAATTTCTTTCTCAGCCATTTGTCTTTGGTATACAGGAGGGCTTCTGATTTTTTTTTTTTTTTTTAGTTAATTTTGTATCCAGCCACTTTGCTGAAGGTGTTTATTAGCCGAAAGTATTCTCTGGTTGAACTTTTGGGGTCACTCATGTATACTATTATATTATCTGCAAACAGTGATACTTTGACTTCTTCCTTTCTGATTTGTATCCCATTGGTCTCCTTTAGTTGTCTTATTGCTTTTGCTAGGACTTCAAGTACTATGTTGAAGAGATGTTGAGAGAGCGGGCAGCCTTGCCTTGTCCCTGATTTCAGTGGGATTGATTTAAGTTTCTCTCCGTTTAGTTTTATGTTGGCTATAGGCTTGCTGTATATTGTCTTTTCTATGTTTAGGTATATGCCTTTTATCCCTGGTGTCTCCAAGATTTTAAACATGAATGGGTTTTGGATTTTGTCTAATGCTTTCTCAGCATCTAAGGAGATGATCATGTGTTTTTTCTTCTTCAGCTTGTTTATTTGGTAGATTATATTGATGGATTTTTTTTATATTGAACCACCCCTGCATGCCTGGGATGATGGCGGATGATATCTTTTATGTGTTCTTGAATTCAATTTGCCAGTATTTTATTGAGCATTTTTGCACCAATAGTCATAAAAGAGACAGGTCTGAAGTTGGTTTTTTTTTTTTTTTGTGGGGGGGGGTCTTTGTGTGGTTTAGGTATCAAAGTGACTGTGGCATCATAGAATGAGTTTGGTAATCTTCCTTCTGTTTCTGTTTTGTGAAATAGTTTGAAGAGAATTGGGGTTAGCTTTTCTTTGAAGGTCTTGTAGAATTCTGTGCTGAAACCATCTGGCCCTGGGCTTTGTTTTGGCAGAGAGACTTTTGATGACTGCTTCTATTTCCTTGGGGAATTTACCTGATCTTGATTTAATTTTGGTAAGTGGAATATATCCTGAAAATTGTCCATTTCACTTAGATTTTCAAATTTTGTGGCATATAGGCTCTTGTAGTAAGACCTAATGATTGTTTGGATTTCCTCAGTGTCTGTTCTTATGTCTCCCTTTTCATTTCTGATTTTGTTGATTTGGATAGCTCTCTGCCTTTAGTTTGGCTAACTGTTTTTCTATCGTGTTGATTTTCTCAAAGAGCCAGCACTTGGTTTAATTGATTCTTTGAATTGTTTTATTTGTTTCTAATTTATTGATTTTAGCCCTGAGTCTGATTATTTTCAGCTGTCTACTCCTCTTTGGTGTGTCTGCTTTTTTTTTTTCCCTAGGGCTTTTAGGTGAGCCATTAAGTTACTTGAATTAGATGTCTCGAATTTCTTCTTGAAGGCACTTTAGTGCTATGAATTTTCCTCTTAGCACTGCTTTCACTGTGTCCCATAAGTATGGGTATGTTGTGCCTTCATTTTCATTGAATTCTAAGAAGTCTTTGATTTCTTTCTTTATTTCTTCCTGAACCCAGCTGCCATTGAGTAGCAAGTTGTTCAGTTTCCATGTGTGTGTAGGCTTTTTGCTAATTCTGTTGTTGTTGATGTTGAGCTTTAGTCCATGGTGGTCAGATAGGATAGAAGGGATTATTTTAATCTTCTTGTATCTGTTGAGGCTTGCCAACTATATTGTCTATTTTGGAGAAGGTTCCATGAGGTGCTGAAAAAAAGGTATACTCTTTTGAATTTGAGTGAAAAATTCTGTAGACATCTAGTAGATCCATTTGATTTAGGACCTCTGTAAATCATTTCCTCTGTAAATTATTTCCCTATTTAGTTTCTGTCTAGATGATCTGTACCTTGGTGAGAATGGAGCGTTGAAGTCTCCCATGATTAAGGTGTTAAGATCGATGAGTGATTTAAGCTTTGATAATGTTTCATTTACAAATGTAGGTGCTCTTGTATTTGGGGCATAGATGTTCAGAATTGTGCTGTCCTCCTGGTGGATTTTTCCTTTGATGAAAATGAAGAGCCCCTTTTCATCTTTTGTTATTAACTTTGGCTGAGAGTCTATTTTATTAGATATTAGGATAGCTACCCCAGCTTGTTTTCTGGGTCCGTTTGCTTGAAAAACATTTTTTCAGCCCTTTACTCTGAGGTAGTGTTTATCTTTGTTGTAGAGGTGTGTTTCTTGGATGCAGCAGAATATTGGATCCTGTTTCTGCAACTGTTCTGTTAGTCTGTCTTTTCATTGGCAAGTTAAGTCCATTGATGTTGATAGATAATAGTGACTAATGAATGTTAGTTTCTTTTATTGTGGAGTTGGT